TTCGAAGTCCCAAGAGAATACCTAATTCTGAGCCTAGCCCGACCTGAATGCTTACGGTTTTCTTCCTTTCTTTGAATTTTTGTGTGTTTTCCCACGGTTTTATCAAAATCGGATTTTTTTGTGTTTCGCTACGGTTTTATCGAAATCTTCGCAAAACACTTGTGATTTTCTTCGAGTTTTCTCTGTGTTTTTGACGGTTCTCTTTGATTTACCATGGTTCATCTGCCGCTTTTTCTCGAGTATTTTCAGGAGCCGTCGGCCTGTCAGGTGTATAGGTTTGTTTTACATTTACAACGTTTACTTTTGCTACTGCACGCTTCTGCGTATACACATAATTCATGTCTGCAATATTATCGTTTGCTGTTTACTGTGCCAACTGCGTTCCGTTGCATGTTCCATTTTATAATTCATGTTTTTTCTACGGATTTGTAGAAAACTTTTAGGTTAGAGGTCAGTAGGACACCTGGTTTAGGAGTTAGGAGGTACCCTGTAGTGACCCACTGACCCACTAACTGTACATTTATACACACCACAATTCTGAACTTACAATCGATATGTTAAGGATCTTAGAGTAGTCTTTCCAAGAAGCGGAACATGGAAGCAAGTGAACGGAGTGCGACGATCGAAATCATGACGACGAGGCGTAGGATGTCTCCTTAGAGTTAAGATCCAATCGTAGGATAGTTGAGAAGTCACCGGAGTTCTCCCTGGATCTGTGACATCCTCTACCTTTCACTTCATTAACTCATGAAAATAATTGTTTCTCTTTTGAATCATTCCCTTTTGATTTCCTTATATTTAACATTGGAAACCTAAACTTTGCAATCTTGAAGACAGAACCACTGATCTTAATTGAGAGTCTTCTTAAGTGATTTCGTTTATTTAATATGTAATTAATTATAGGGGTTTGCTTCTATAGAAAACTTAGCTTATATAGAAAACTTAAAAACGCAGTTTAAAATAAACCTTATTTAACTTTTTATGTTAAATAAGAGAATTTGTCGGCTAATAAAAAATGTTTCGCAGACCAAACGAATGTTACAAATCTTATAGTTTAGGTGGTTAAGTCTGTCAATAAGTTGCATGCATATCCTTCGGGATAGTGTACTAGTTGTGGTATTGCGCTCAACTATTTGAACTATCAAATATGCGAGGCCTGCTCGGTCCCACTTTTCAAAATTAAAACATTATTTTCTAAATTATAATCACATATATATACATTAAATCATATTCAAATAAATGATTTCCCCTGAGGTAAAGCGCCCGACAATGAACACATCATAAACAACCAAATATTTTTAAGTGAGATTGATTTAAGTCTTTGTCCACACGCTTATTCAAGTAAGCTTTCATTGAAAAGTTTTGATGTACCACGATTTATCAAATAAACTACAATGTTTATTGCTTTTGTCCAAAACTGTTTTGACAAATAAACATGTAACCTCATACTTCTGACACTCTATGATGGTTCTATTCATGCCCTCAACAACATTATTTTGCTTTGATGTTCTTTGACCAATAAATTCATCTCTTCCGAAGCACAATAATTTTTGAAACTCTTATCGCAATACTCACAATAATTATCTGATTTGAAATACTTCACCTCAAACCTATCTCATTCTCAACCATGACTTTCCACTTTCTAAACACATCAAAGATATGCAACTTATGTTTTAAAAAATGCACCCATACTTTTTTCAGTGTAATCATCAATGAAAGTGATAAAACATGGAGAAACTTTATTACACTTAAATGGAGAAGGACCTCATACGCCAGTATGTTTTAACTCCATATTTTTAGACTTCAACTTCGACCTGCTTTTAGAAAAGTAACATTGTTTTTCTCGACATAAATACAATCTTCACAAAAATATAAATCTATAAACTTTGAACCATGAAGTTTGTTTTAGAAAGGAAATATTTCATATATTTTTCACTCATATGAACAAGTCTGCGGTGGCTGAGATGTGCATCAACTTGTGTTTCTTCTACTCTAATGGATTCATACAACTTCTTGATCAGATAAATGGTACATTCAATGCTGTTTTGAGCCTCCACCATTGTACATTTAGTCACATTCCATAAATCACCTATGAAAGTAGCACATACCCCGATCTTGCAAGCTAACTCACATAAATCAGGTTTTTCTTCAAACATGGAATCTCTAACTTCATTTATATTCCAAACCAATCCATTTGACAACCTGATATCAACATCACTCTTTTCAATAATACTTTAGGCATTATTATCTCCCAAATACACATTTTTTAGATCACCTTAAGTGTAGTTTTTAACCACCTATTTGTTAGGGCTAGCATGTAATGTGACACTTGAATCTACAATCCATGTTTAAGTATTATCTAGGGGAGATATTTGTAGAAGGTTTTCTATCTGGACACCAGGCATGAACTTTCTTCAGAGCTTTGCTGTCTTTCTTAGACTGGCATTTGATGAAGAACAATGTGTTGGGAATCCATATATTTATTACTCATTGTGAACATCACTTTTAATATCCTCAATGAAACTACTACAGTAGGCACCATGAAGGTGGTGTAAGTTATGTATGAAAAGCCCTTTACAACTGACAATGTGCATATATTAAGGAAGTTGTTAGAAGGAGCTTCGATTGTATATCATATCAACTGATTCGACTGTATTACCCCAAGAATTGAACTCTCTGAACATCAAAGTAGATAATGAGATCTATTTTTTTAGTTTGCTTTCTTCGCATATCAAAAGATGACATATCATCTTATGGCTGTTAATAGTTCCCATAGATCATCCCACCATGATGCTCAATGACATCAAAGATCTCATCCTCATTGAAAACATCTGACAGTGCAAAAATGGTGAAGAGATATCATCTTTTTATTAAATATTTGATAAAAAGAGCAAGTGTAACAAATGAGATAGAGACGAGTGTAGATCTCAATAGATGAGCCAGTCCTTAGGGTCACAATGCTGCATGTTGGTGATTTGGCATGATTGAAAAGGGACTATCCAGAAGGCAAGGGGGACAAAATTCAAAATAGGTGGACTTTCTCGTGATTATTAAATAAAAAGATTTTGCATTATGCATTGATCCTTAATGTGGATAGATAGAATTCCTGGCTGTTGAACTTAAGTTCGTTGGTTCACTCTACTATCAAGTGTTTATGATTTATTATTCCGCATGAAATTCTGAAAATGTTCATTGCGCTAATAATAAACCTTGGATGGTGTGGTAGTTAGTGATTTGTGAGTAAAGTTCAGCAATGATATTATGTGGGAGTTTTATAATATAAGGCATAGTTCTGGCTTAAAGAACTTGATTTTTATTGAGCAGCATGGTGATGAAGTTTGTCTGATCCTTCTATAATATTTTTTAAAGGGTGATTGAGGGTGTTATTGTAATTGCATGAGGAAGCAAAGACATATTCTTCTAAATGGATGGAAACTCTGATCTAGTGGAAACCCATTGTGAAATCAAGCGTTGGTGTCTTTGGAAGTGCAACAAGGCATAATGCTTTTGTTAAGTGGGAGCTTCCATTTTAAAATCACGAACTAACATGACGACGGGGCAAACATTGTAGAACAGCTGGCATGCTTGTCTTGTATAGACTGACTTATAATAAGACCTCAATCCACTCCCAGGGTTGTTTGAGTGGGGATGCCAGACAGATAATTTTCTCTTAGGTTTGCTTATAAAAAAATAATCTCCTAATTTCTTTCCTATTACATGTTATCAAATTTGGAACTTTTAAATCTTCTCATTTAAGCTTATTTTTCACAGCTATTGAGTTTTCTAAATTCTGCCACCTTTAACTGCCTCAAGTGCTTATAAAAGTGCATATTGGTTGTCCAATTGAGTTGAGTTTGGAAGGCATTAAGTTCCTGGTTTATCTATTGAGCGGTGTGTGATCAGATCCCAAGAATTTGCTTTCTTCTTTGGGTTGATCAACAGGAAGTATATGCAAACGGAGTTGGACGATAGGGGTGCTGCAAGTGTGTTTCTGTTACTTTGGTTAGCATTTGAGAAGATGTCAACAACGGGAAGGTCATTGAGGTTGCTGCTTTTACTGGGATATGAAGCAATGAACTCTCTGGGCAATTTGGAAAGAGTTATCATATCACATGTAAGGTATATATATAAACCTTACATGTGATATGATAACTCTTTCCAAATTGCCCAGAGAGTTCATTGCTTTGGTTAGCATTGAGAAGATTTCAACAACGGGAAGGTCATTGAGGTTGCTTCTTTTACTGTTACATGAAGCAATGATATTAGATTATCTGTAGGTTCGACATGCTATATAGTATAGTATTTTAAATTAAGTTAATATTTTTAGTAAGATTTTTAAATTTGAAATGCAACGACTTCTGAAACTTGATTTGATGATCATCACTTTATGCTAGTTGAAAACATTCTCATAATTGAAATAGGTTTTAAACTGATACAGCCATTCCTTTTTAGCACATCACTTACATCGGGTGAGCGCCCAGTTGTTGCCTATTGTCTTAGAAATTGAGTAGCTATATCACCTTTAGGGCTTCCAGTGCTGGTGAAAGTCTGTAATTGCTTTGTTCATTGCTTTTGTATGCAATTTTTTTTCTCTCATTCTAGAATTTGATCCTGTTAATTATGTGGGCCTTAATGATTTTTTTATAACAACGTCTCTGTATAATGATCATAGCTCCCAGCCCTCTTCATGTACAGATTTTTAGAGACGCGCTTTTATTGCATGCAAAAAAGAAAAAAAATAATAATAATAAAATGACAGAAGGAAAAGAAAGCATCATAAAAAAAGAAAGAAAATTAAGCGACTTGCATCTTTATCTTTTCATATTGCCGAATGGAGGAAAATGGTATTGTTTGGTGAGATAATTTTTGTTTCATCTTTCTGAATGCTTCTGAACGTAGACAACGCTAATAAAGTTTGTGCATCCGTCCTTTGTTTCATTTCACCTTTTTCAACCTTTGTTGGATATTAAAAAGTCTACTCCCATTCATTTGTGTTACAGAACTTCTTGGCGCTCTGTGCTAGTGATTATTATGATGGAACTACATTTCATCGAAACATTAAAGGATTCATGATCCAGGGTGGAGACCCTACTGGCACCGGCAAGGGAGGGACAAGCATTTGGGGCAAGAAGTTCAATGATGAGATCCGTGAGTCACTTAAGGTAACCTTATTGTCATCCTTTACTTTTTTTTGTCGGGAAAATTTACATACATACCACGTAATTCCTATTTAATTACATATCTAACATCTAAAGTTTGATGTTTACATTTATGACTTTTTGTTTTCATAAATCTATATATGAATAAGTGAATTTCACTTTTAAAAAGTTAATATAGTGATATGTCTGTGGGATGTTAAAGATTTGAGTGCCATGCACGTAAATGTAAAGCTTTAGGTGCTAGATAAATAACTTTATAAGAATTATGAGGTGTGTATGTAAATTACACTTTCAATTTGTTAGGGGGAAAAGTTTGAATCTTCATATATCTTCAACTGTAGACGGAAAAAATGATTGATGCTATATTCATTTGATGGCTAGCACAATGCCAGGGGAATACTATCAATGGCAAATAGTGGACCGAACACCAATGGAAGCCAGTTTTTCATCACCTATGCAAAGCAACCTCATCTAAATGGCCTTTACACCATCTTTGGGAAAGTAATCCATGGTTTTGAAGTTCTTGATATTATGGAGAAGGTATAGAATTTATTCGCTTCACACTTATATAGTGTAGCTAGTTTTTGCGATTGTTAATGCAAAATTTTTATTTCTTTTTTGCAATGTTCATCTTATTCTTCTGCAGACACAGACAGGGCCAGGAGATCGGCCTCTTGCTGAGATTAGATTGAACCGGGTGACCATTCATGCTAACCCTCTTGCTGGTTGAAGGAGGTACCTGACTTTTTCTTGTTCATTGTTTGGTTTCTTATAACTGCTTAATTTTTGAAACTGTTTCAGAACAGTTTTTGATGTGAATCGTTATTGAATGACTGTTTGACTTTAATAAAATTATGTCACTTTGTGTTAGATTTATGCAAGGGTCTAAATCAATGGGGATCTGATGACATTTTTATACCAACATTTTCTTAGTTGTTTAGAGTTGGACAAAATTAATAGTTTTAATGTGAGAGTTCTCTATATTATAATGGTCATAAATATTCAAATTAAGCATTTAAACATCATTTAGGTATGTTCCTGCAAAAAGAGTGTAGCAGGAATCTCAAAATTTTGGGAGTTTGATCACATGAATTTCAAATGCAGTGTAAAATTATAAAGCATTTGTAATTCATTCGCTAGTTTATTTTTAATGTATTTAAAGTTTGTAATATTTGGTCAAATTCCAAATACACCGTTTTGTGCAAAGTGCTCGCTGCTGTTATCGCCACTGCCCATCTCTGTCGGCTGCCCCTGTAAGCCAAAGGCTGTTTTCTAGCCCCCAACCGCCGTTGCTCACTCACTCTCTCCTTTTACCCTCAGCATGTTGTTGGCCGCTAGCCCCATATTTAACATTCATATCATCTTTCTTCAAATCAAATATAAAATTGTGAAGTGTTGCATTTATTTTACACAACAACAACAACAACAACAATGACAACAATGCCTTTATCCCACTAAGTGGGTCGGCTACATGATCCTTTTTCTCCATTGCATCCTTTTGAGTGTCATGTTTTCATTTAAATATAAAAAAATAACATAACTAGGTCTAGCTCTGCCTGCATTTATTTTACACGGAATCTAAAAATTTCAAAGTGATCTAAACACAATATATTACTTTGACAATGCATTTTTTTTTTAGCAAACCAAAAACAACCCCTTTAGTATCATGTATCAAATGCCTACTCAATAATCTATTACGGGAGTCATCAAATCCTCTTGAACTTTCTGCAATCATCATAAAATCAACCGAGTTTTGTTGGAGTGCATGCCATACTAATCGCTCGATTATTGTTGGATCATCCACTCTAAAATTACTTATTAGCAGCTATGATCAGTTGCCTCTGATTTTGCCTCAAAAGCTTAAACTTATTATGTTCAATCGATTGTTACTTCCATACCGAGTTGTCTTTTCAACAAGCTGACGCGTGATTAAACCCACAATCTTTTGTTTCTTAAAATATGATAATACTAACAATTTGAAATTGTATGATAAGTGTCTTTTCTCGTAATGTGGAGCATAAACTTTAAGCTGCTTTGAGGCATGCGTCTGAAAATTAAATCATTTAATTAACTAAAAAATTGTAAAATAAAATATTTTTGATGTATTATGAATGATTTGGTGGTATTATTATAAAAAATAATCTTTTAGTGCTAGATATTTAAATACATGGGAATTCGGTGGTATGTATGTGAATAGTAGCATTTTTCTTAATTCCTATCCATTCTTGATCTCTCTGATTTTCTATGTCCAAGATCACTAAAAATTATTACATCGGGAGTCCTGATGCAGTTGTGCATGAGTACTCCTGATATAATATTTTTTCCAAATTTTCATGTCGCACTCTCTCCAATTCCAACAACAACCACGCCCCATGCACGTACCAAAAGAAATTTCGATCAATTATCTCTTCCTCTTAACATATTTATAAAAATTTATGGCATGTAACTTTTAAGGTTAAATTAGATTTAAACTGTTAAATAAGAGATGACCCGCAATAATAAAATGTTGAAGTTATGTTCATGGAAGAAGATAACTGAATTTTTATATTTACATAAGATGGTTCAATTAAATTTGTATTTATTCTAAAGCTGTGTTTTAAATTTTTATGTTTTTCCTGTTTTATTTATATTTAATCCTGTATTCAGATCTTTGGTCATGTTGGACCTTCTGAACAGTGAATCAATAGCACTTTCATCATGCAGCTTACTTCAATCATGTGATTAATTTCGCTCAAAATTAAAATTTTAAACAAAATTAGCAAACCATACAAGCAGTGCAATTAATTTGAGTTGTAGTACTGCTTACTGTGTATAAATCTGTACCGCTGGTGAACGCATAAAACGCTTTTGATATGTCTCATCATTGCGTTTTGGAATCCTTATAAAGACATTGAGCTCTGCTACAGTTTTAGGGAGGAATATTTTCATAATATCAACAAGGAATTCAGTGATTGTGGGCCTCAGGATGATTGAGAAGAAATGGAATGAAAAATATATTGTCATCATGAACCTAAACGATCGATTTGTAATTTTTTTTTTATTTTTTCAATTTCATTTTCCCTGAAGTTTGTAGCTTTCTTTATGCAGTGAAAAGCTTTACTTTTATTTATTCCTCTTTCATTTGGGATATAAAGATGGCATTTTTTATGGGCAGCATGAAATATGCATTTGGTTGATAGGTTTTCTTAAAATTTATTGTTACATTGTTACGAATCATTAAGTTTTAGATAAGGTTCTCTTATTTATATAATTTCACTGTGGCAATTTCTTGCTTGTAGTTTTGGTTAAGTCTGACTTGCATCATGTATGTGTGTGTGTGTGTGTGTGTGTGTGTGTGTGTGTGTGTTTAGTAAGTTAGTTTAATTCATTAAGAAAGGTGCCAAATTTGTTATTAATTACTTTAATTATTTTTTGTTTTTTTTATTATTGGAAAACTGCTATTTTATTCTAAAATTATTGAATGCATATGTCTAATTTGAAATCTAAATAGTAGACTTACGAGTTGGATCGGACGTGAATCGATAAGGGGTGGTTTGTTAGCTCATGAGCTAACAAACCAAGCTCAAGCCAGCTCTGCTTGGCTTATTAGTTTTAGAGCTGGCTCGTTTAAAAAATGATTAATAAAAAATATATTTGCATTTTAAAAAATTTCTTTATACTATTAAGAATGTTTGAAATTTGATATTTTACATTTTATAACAAGTGATATGTTATTAATTTAATTACAACATTAGTGATTATGATGTTACTTAATTGAATATTTTTTAAATGTCATGCATTACTATATTGGTTCTTCAAAATTTGAAATTAATTGAAAGAGAGCTATAATTTTTCAAAGTTATTTCAAATATGGCCATTAATAAAAATCAATTGGTATTGAAGTTTAGCATTCCTTGTTCTATTTTAGAAAGAATTATGTATTTGAATTAATTACTAATTTGTGATCTATGAATCAACAATTTTTTTTAATTTTATGTCGAAGTAAATTACAAATCATATTAATAGCAATAAAAAATCATCATCAACTTTATTAAGTCATCAACTTGATGACTTCATATTTGCAGTCTAAAAAATGAATATAAGTGATTGTATTCATCCGTGTGCTTTTTTTGACCAATGCCATTGTGTTGATAATTTTTCAATATGATTAGAGTTACCATAATTTATTATCATTATGTCTTTGTCCCCCTCCTACAACTTACATGTATCTCATAAACATGAAATGAACTTTATTGATTAAAATTTTACATGTACCAAACACATTTCAACATCATTAAAATTTATTTCTATTCTAGTCATAATTACACATTGTATCATTTCACTTTTACAAACCACATTTAAATATAATAGCTTAGCTAAAGATTTAAAATTTGTAAATGAACAAGCTATAACAAATAAATGGTAATAAAATTTAATCAAGAATTTTTTTTTTCATCATGAGGCTCAAAATTTGATTTTAAAAATTATTCAAGCCTAATATCTAATATTTATATGTGTTTTGTGTACCCCGGTCTGTTGGTTGGCATCCATGGTATAAGACGCCACAGGTAAGGAGTTTGAATTCCTTCTGACACAGTTGGCCATATGGAGGTGGAGCTCGAATTGTTAGATATATTAGGGATGGTTGGAGGCTCATATAATAGCCTCTGGCCATTCCCTTATATATATATATATATTTCTCAAAGAAGTATATCATAAGTTTACTAACATTATGACGAACTGGCTGAGAATATAAATTACTAGATCGTCACAATTGATATCAATATTTCATTTTCTTTTGCGTGTCAATTGGCATCCACATTTTTTTCTTTAAGGATAGTTTAGAAAAAACTTTTTTATTTATTTTATTTTATTTTATTTATAATTTAGAATAAAATTTATTATGCTCAAACTAGTAGCACATTGATCATAAAAAAAACTTAGAAGCATCTCAAGAAATCGTGTTCCAATGCTCACAATATCCAAAAAAAAAACTTATTTTATATGTTAAAGTAAGTTTATAAGTAATTTTTTAAAAATTCAAAGCACATAATATTTTTTTTTAAAATTAAAAAACATTTAATTTGTTTTCAAAATAAAAAACTTATGAAAATTGAAAAATACATTAAATTTACATTTAAAAGAGAAAAAAAAACACTTGGCATGCCCTTCAAGGATTAGGAGACACTATAGCTCTTAAATGAGAAAGAGAAACTCATCATTGCTCTGACTCATTATTCAAAACATGTACATCACTTTCCTTGTATGGATGCATCATGCCTTCATAGAACATTTTTTGGATCATTTCCTCAGAAGAATATCGGTCACAAAAATCCAATGTCTTTCCCTTCTATTTACCCTTCCTAATATTTTCCTTCATCTAGCTACAACTAGAACAATGTGTTTCTCTAGCTTCTTCTTCTCCATGAAACATCTCTGTTCATCAACAGTTCTACAAAGGAGATTTCTTAAAAAAACAAAAGCTTTTCACTTGCGTAATTCAAGAATGAGCTCAGGAAATGGGAAGATGGCAAGGTAATTAAGGCCCTTCTAATCACGTTTGATATTTAAATCATCAGTAACTAATGAGATAGCCCATTCCACAGCTTGAAGAAAAGAGGCCATAACAGGGAAGAAGAAGAACAATATATGAAGAAGATGAACAGGAGGCTGTACCTGAAGAACAAAGCCATCATGAAGGAGAACAACAGGCTCAGAGAGATAGCAAACTTCCTCAATCAGGAGAACCAAATGCTTCAGTCTCATATCCAAAACATAAAGAAATCCAGCTAGTTTCAGACTTCTGCTGATTTCTGTGTTTGATTTCATGTTTGTTTTAGATTATCTGTCTTATAGTACTTGTAACTTTGTTGCACGTTGCTTTCTGTTATGAACTAAAATTTTCACTTTATGGGAAAAATTCTAGATTTATGTGAAGTGGAAGATAATTGTTATCTTTTTTTAAATTTTGAATCTGAAGCTTTGTTAACAAAGTAGGAGAATAAATATTTATCTATTTGGCCTCTTAAAAGTTCTAATCTTGGGGAATATTTTTTTATGGTATGCAAGAGAAAATATCACGTCCGGAAATGGGGAGAAAATATTACGTCCGGAACATCGGATATCTTGACGACGGTGCGGATTGCATCACGACACTGTGCACAATGGCATGGTGCAATCAACGCATTCCGAACATCTAGACGACACGTTATTTTTTATCGATCTGCTGACTGAAGCGAAGTAATCTTCCCCATAAACATAGGCAAATTTTTGCCAAATCATGTAAATTGTACAATATTTGACTGTTTGTTTGTTTAGTGATTTTGTTTTCTGCATTGTTTTGCATGATAGTAATTTGTTAGGGAAGTATCACCAAATGAAACCTTAGTCTCTCTGATGATAAAATTTTCATCTTGAATTTGTTGTCAGCATATCTTATGAATCAAACAAATTGACATTAAATGGTATCAAAAGCTTTAGCGAACATACTCATTCGTTGGTGAAAGAGAGTGAAAACTATTTTTTTGCTTTTAATATGTGGGTAACATGAATAAGCACCTCTTAAAATAAAAATGATCACCAATGCATAATCAAACCCAAATCCCCAAATAAGAGACAATACATGCATCATTTTAGAAGTAAATAATGAATTTTAATCTCAGAAGCATCATTTTTTTTTCTTTTTCACATAAAAAAGGTAAATCACTAATTATAAATTATTCTTAGGTTATTATGATAATTTAAAGAAATTTACATGGAGGTTGAGCAAGGTTAGACACATTTCTAAGCTATGAAAATACTTTATTTATATAAGGCAGCATAAAGTAGAAATGTGTAATGCTATATATATATATTTCTGGGTGATATCTGAAAGGTGATAAAAAAAGGCATGTCAATAAATAATTGAGAGCAGCCCAAATCAACCAGATGATATTTGCGTGAATGTTTTGTACTCTAGCTTTAATGGAAGAAAGCAAGACTTGTACGATTGTACAAATAACATGAACTATCTTTTTTCATGAGGGGATATATATATATATATA